AATTTTCTGCACAGCACATCATAAAATGGAGATGTACATGAGAGAACAAGTAATTAATCTGGTTAAAATGTTGTTTCCACTCAGACCAATGAAATAAGGTGGGTGGGTAATTGCTCTGCAGAGATAGCCTTTGTGTGGTGAATAGTGCTTGGGGAAATCCAAACCCTGCTTGGGCACTTCTGTTCCTCATGTGTAACAGACCTGCTGAGTCCATGGGGTGTGTGAGGACTGGATTGAGTGTGGTTTAAAACACCCTGAGTACAAACATGCTCGGTCTTGAGTAGCCCCGAGGCTGAAAATGTTTTTGTTCTGGTGCCAGCAGGAAGGAGGAAAAAGTGGAAGCAGACAAAGCAGTTGCTGAGAAGGAGGAGAGGCGTGAGCCTAGCGTGATCTGTCCCCTGCCCCGCAGCTGGAGTTATATCCCTCCCAAGGACCTGCAAAGCTGCCTCGAGTCCCACATCAGGGAGGTCTTTGGGCCCTCTCTCGCTGAGGACTGGCAGCAGACCCTGCTCCAGGAGAACAGGCTGAAGCATAGCCTGCTGGCCCGGCTGGCGGCGGAGCTGGGACATGCTGTCCCCAACTCCCAGCTGCACCGGATGCGCTGCGCCAGGGACGTGCTGGGCTTCTATCGCATCCCTATGAAGGACGAGACCAAGTTTGATGAACTGGCGGCCACAGAGCTGCCCCCGAACCTGAAAATCGTCTGGCAGCAATGAGTCCYCCACAAGGGGCATACCCATGCCTGGTTTGTGCTGCAGGGCAGCAGCAGAGCCCTYTGCTTGGGGTGAGATGTTTGAATTTCACTAACAAAAGTTCACTGAAATCTCTTAACTTAGTAATGGTGAGGTCTCCAATAGAMCTTTAAAATCAGCTACCATCAATGCATCTTGTTGAATTCTCCAGTGTCAAGGGTCCCATTTTTTATGTTCTGTGGGTTTTAGTTTTTCTTGTATGATGGCTACTGTTTAGTAGAAAAACTGTTTAGTTTTTCTTCCTGTCTAACTGATGATCAGGTCTGCGTTTAATCAGAGGAGGCAAACTGAAGTCAGGAGCACAAGCAAATAAATGCAACAATCTGAGAAACGCATGGTACTTTGAATGTATTCTACGGAATGAGTTGTTTCCAGTGAGGTTGAGAGTGTGTATGTGCGATTTTTCTGGAAATAATGCAGAAAAGTCCTCATTACACCACTCAGTGCCCTGAACCCTTGCTCCCCTGATTTCTTGCAGCATGCGGATAGATGCRTGAAGCACCCTGGTGCTTTTGTGTGTTACAATGCTCACTTCTTCACTTGCTTAAGTGCTGCTTTTCTCTCAGAAACTCTGAATAAATTTAGGAAACCCTTTCTTTTCTCCTTTTGACTCTGGGGGAATTACAGAATAGTGAAATGTACACCTACACGTTCCACAGTGGGGTGAACCTGAGTGAACTGGGGATGTTTCACTGGTCACCATGGAAGGCTGAATGTTCACAAATCCCTGCCCTGTAGCTTATGGAAAACCACAATGTGACAAATGGCCAAGTGTCATCATGTCGGCTTCAGAGACTTTACAGGAACAATGAGTTGGAAGTATTTTTTCATTAAATTACATCTTTCCATCAAAAGAGATACTTGCACCTCCTTTGCTGCGTTTCCTCGTGGCATTCATTATCTAAGAAAACCCCCTCAGTAGCTGCATTTTGTGCTCTCTCCCCCTTCTGTGTCTCTCCCAGGATATAACTTAGATAGCTCATGCAATGTGATCAGAACAGAGTAAAAAACTGGACTGGGAATTAGGACAGGCAASAAAGGAGCGCAACAGCAGCTTGTCCTGTGTTTTGCTGTGCCTGAGTTGAGCCAAGCTGCCATTTCCCTGATCTCAGACATACCAGTCCCTTGGAGGTGCAAACCTCATGCTTCCATCAGCACAGGAAGCTGCAGGGAGGAGTACAAGGGAAGAGGATGAGACATGGGTGTTTGAGATTCAAAACATTTAACTGCTTGTAACAAGCTGAAAAAGCAGAAATCTGAAATGGGGTCGAAGTTTTGCACACAGTGACTGTACCATAGAGACATAGACATCCCATATTTTCTTTTATGCCACAGGCAAATTAAATACTGGCTCACATGTTTGCTTTTTTTTGATTTTTTTTTTTTTTTTTTTTTTTTTTTTTTTTTGCTTCTGTTTTGGAAAAAATATACAAAAAAAAAAGCCAAGAAGAACCAACATGGAAATGTGAGGTAAACATTCCAGTAAAAGTACAAACAGAGGCTCCGTTCCTTAAAGGAGACACACAGCAGTTATCACCATGCTAGAAGAATGAGATGCAGGAAATCCTAGAAACAGTGAAAAATCGTATAATGAAGCCTTTGCCCCAGTTCTAGCCATTGCAAATGGTCTTTTTTTTTCTTTTGTTCTTCCCATCCCCAACCCATAATTAATTGTCTTATAATGCTTAGACAAAGTTGTTATAATGTAAAATAGCAGTTTTGATACAAATTCTGTATGGCAGAATTTACAAAAAAATGCAGACTGCTACTAGAGACTCAGCTTTTTCTTTTATTTCTTTCCTTCTTTCTTTCTTCCAGTTTTTTTTTTTTATTTTACTTGTCAAAGCCCCTAAGAAAAAAGAAACCATTTTGGGAGGCAGAACTGGCTTCTTGCCTAGGTCAAGCAGAATGCCAAAGAATGCTCCCCCAGTGAAGGAGTGGTGCTACTTTTCCTTTGCACCAGTGTCACTAGTTACCCCACAAGTCTATGATGAAGTGATGAAACACTTAAAACGCAGCTTCAGCCCCACAGTGGTGGCTGTATATCCCCATAGTCAATTCCTGAAGCCAGGTTTCACTGGGAGCTTTAGCTGGGCCTGGGGAGGAATGAGGATCTAGGGAGATGATATAGTCAGCTCACATGCTATCAGCTACTACTATAAATTTTGACGTCCAGTCGTTCTATACTGCAGCCTAAGGATGTTGTTTTAGTTATTCTTCAATAACAGGCACAACCATCCACACCAGAACAAGCAGGCTTTGATTCAGTGAGGTGCTTAAGGACAAGCTTCTAGTCTAGAAACTGGGTGGTATCTGAATTCCTAGGGAATACTTAAGTATCTCATTGAATCAAAGATGTATTACTGTTACTTGTTGACAGTATCATTCAGGTTCAATTCCTGATCACGATATTTGAATATGAATTAAATATATGCGATTACTTCAGATCCATGGCTGAGCTTACTTAGATCAGAATCTGACCCAGCACTTCTTATSGTAAGAAAAGGTAAAAGTGATTTTTTTTTTCCCCAAGATATATAAATTCAAAACTGAGAAGAAAAAAAAATTGTGTACAAATATCACATAACAACATCAACAATTCCATAGATGTAGTTCCTCAGTGCACACTTTAAACGAGAAAAGGTTTTTTTTTTTTTTGTTCGTTTTCCATTTTGCTTTTAAAGTCTGGCATAATAATATTAAAGCTGACAAAAAATCAGGGTAAGCTACATCACTTCCTCATACAAAAAAAGTACAAAACATTAGCCTCTAACTAGACATAACATAATACTGGTCATCACAGTTAGACATTTAGTAACTGTGTGTCTTGGATTATTTTACTGGAGGGTAGTAAAAAATAGCTTCAGCTGCTGGTCTCCCATCTCAGGTTACTTCAGTCATAGAAGCAGAGTGATTCTGCAAAGAGGAAAAGGCAAATATGTGAATGTGTGCAAGTCTGGCATTGGCATACCCTAGAGTGYAAAAGCAATGGTAAAACCCCTCACTCATGAAACCTGTATTGTAGATGTATAGTCATTAATTATAATTACTATAATTATAATTATAGTAATTAATTATAATTTAAGAAAATTATCTTATTGATTTGTAGTGGATATCAACAGTTAAAATCAAGTCCCTRCCTGCAGGTCACAGTCCAATAGCTATAAACAGCTGACTGGACAAAATTTTTTTCTCACAGCCCATGAATATCTTCACCTGCTTAGCCCTTCTGTCATACATAACACAATGTGGATTTATAAATAGCACTGAGTTTCTGGACTGTAAACCCACGCAGAGAACTTTTAATGCACACAGTTCTGCAGATTTAGTGGAAAGTCTTCCAGTAAATCTCTGCCTAATCAAAATTTACTCTTCAATTAAGCAAAGTATTTCTGGACATTAGAAACAGTATTTTCCCCATTTTTTTCCCAATTCCTTTCTTCAGTTTATTTCACAAGGATTTTTAAAAAGTCTCTATTGATCTTGCCACACATCATGTGCAAAGGAATGACAGGCCATCTAATAAAGGAAGTACAATTTATAGAACAAATAAATYACACCAGCGTGTTCCAGAATAACTCATAAACTACAGTTTCTCCTTGTTCCCAGAATTTCTCRGCAGGTTGCATTTACTTGTCTCTTTTGAAAGGACTGGGTATGATGCAGTTGTGCCAACACAAGCCCTTTGAAATTAGTAGTTTTAACAGAAACACCATCAATATGATATGCTCACTAGCTATTTGTTTTGCAGACTTGAAAGAGTGCTATTAATTTCTGATGACTTAGACATAGAAAAAAGTATATGATTTCTTATTATAGAAGACATGTAGCAATAATAAGGATAAAATCCCTAATCTCTATAATATTTTTCAGGGCAAAATATTTTATCCTCAGGAAAGAACAAATCCTTCATACATCCCAAAAGTTTCCTGGAATATAATTAGGCATAATTATTTTTCCTTTTCTATCAGTTTTCTATTCTAAGCTAAAATTTATGAGGCATGTGAAATCTTACTTCTTTAGCTGTGGACATGTATGGGGGCAGAATATCTACATCATTTGGTAGTTTCAGCGATAAATGCCTTAAAACAAACTCTGCCCTGATGCAGATTCTCTCTGTTCAACGGGCTTAAACTGAGGCATGTGTAGTTAGATGCAAAATGACTTTTTACTCTGCTGCAACTGAAAATATGCTTGGTGATGGTCTGGGTTAGAGGATTTACAGTACCTGTGCACTCAGTGTCTCCAGAGGACTTTCCACTCTTGGAAAAGCCATTAGTGGCATTCCTCGTGGGTCTTCAGGCTTCGGTTTAGAAGGAGCTGCATGACTGCCCTTAAAGTTATGGACAACACATATCCCCTGTGTAATGCAGAGAAAAACCAGAGTGAGGTCAGTGCGCYCCATCCCCAGGAAAAACCTGAAGGGGCAATTACCACAGGGGTCACAACTGCAAAGAATTTAACCTGGATTTGGGTTCAAGGCATCATCTGTCTGAGCCTTGGCCTGAAGTGTGTTTTACTGACACAGCTGGGTGTGATGGGCTGCCTTGGTGATGAACCATTCTYGGCTTTTTTACATTTTACATCTGACCCAGTAGAGACCCCCGTGTATGCTTTATCATCCCAGAGCCACAGACTACCTGAATGAAGCCCTTTACTGGGCAAATACTCCCTTCAGACTCTGTGCCACTTCCAAACAGTGAGCACAGCCCTGTGGGTGGCTGAATCTCCTCACATCTAGATGACATCTTTAGCACCATTCCTGCACGCTTCCAGCACCACTGTTGTGATATTTATCCCACAAACCCCTTGCTCATGCACCACGTAGTGGTGGTGATGCCAATAAGAGCAACCACACCTGGCAGTGTGTGGCTTGAGGACATGGAAGAAAAGGGTACACAGGAGCTGACACATCTGCTGCCAGAGTGCTGCTGATTCCTGCAGTCAGCTCCTCGCTGGCTTCTCCCCTTCACTTCCACTGCCAGGCTGCAGCCTGGGTGGGTCCTGTGCCAGCAGGATCTGTGCCAGGGATCTGACAGCACCCCTCTGGGGAGACCATTTGCACCACTCTGAAATTCAGCTTGTGACACTTGCAGGGTACCAGAAGGTCTGCAAAGGCAAAATGCAGCTGGGGACAGGCTGCCACCCACARGTACTGGGAGTTCAAACAGATTGCCCTGGCTTGATAGATGGGGCAACTGCCTCTTAAATTGCATGGGTGAGATTCAAACTGCCCTTCCCAGCAGGAACCACACAAATTATTCACATTGAAGTCAAGGATATTCAGGTCAGAAGCTGTAGACATTTTTTTTTAATCTGAAATGAACACAGGAATAAATAACACTTGAAGGTTTGATGTTGTTTCTTTTTAAAGTACAGGATAGAAAAAAAAATCAGTGACAGGACAATTGAGATTTAAGGGATCTTTAAAACCTAATCCCTCCTGATTACAGGGATAAAGTGTCTGTTGCTATGCAGTGGATAGTTTTGAAGCATAGTTTGAYTAAATGAGCCAGGCACACTTCTTTGTAACAGTGAGAATGACCTGGACTGCTTGCTGTGTGAGTAAATCCTCAGCAAGAGACCTCTCACCAAACAAAACACTGAAACCACACAGCCCACAGGAGAGCCTGTTACATTCAGAGTGTGGAGAGATGCTCTCCCTAGATTCTGTGGGAAGCCTTTGATATATTTTGATAATGTTTGGTTACCCTGTGAGGATGTGAACAGTTTCAGCTTGACTCTAAAAGCTTCAAAGGGAGGTAGTTTTGTCTTCCAGGGAGTTTTTCYTTTCTTTCTTCTTCTTTTCCTTTCCTTCTTGACTTTCCTTTCTGTTGCACTTCTTTAATGATCCGAAACAAAATGGAGAGCCAGGATCACAGTTTGGAGCCCTAGACAACACTCCATACCTCACATTTTTGCCAGATACAAGGCACACAGAAGGGTTTTGCAACACAGGTGCGCCAGAGAAGGAGTCTCAAGTACACCCTCCTTTTGATACTGAAATCTGCACCAACTTGAGCAGCATTTTGCAGAGCGGATCAAGTAACAACATGTAGAGTAATTAAAATAATTGAAATATATAAAAAGTATAAATACCACCATATTAGACCTCAATTAGACCCATCAATTAGCATGAACCTGATTTCACCTTAGGGTTTTCTCTGATAACACATGTAATTAGATGGGGCTGGCATTAGATCTTGCAGGCTACAAGTGATTAGCAATTTTTTAGGGTTATTTGTAAAACCGTGGTATACTTGTAAACAAAACACAGGAGGACTGATGGATTTACCAGAAACAAGGCTACAGCACTCCCCAGGATGAAGCCTGCGATCACATCCG